AAAGCGATCAATGATACTTGGATGGTTGGCTTCTCGAATGGGCCGGCGTTCTGGCTACGCTTGTCGGTTGGTACATTCCAGATTGTCTCAATACGGTATAAGTGCAGCCGCCTCTTGACGTCGTAGGCAGCGAGTAGGAGGGTGTTATCTAGAAGATGTTAATTTAATAACATCAAGGCGTACAGAAGACCTACCGTTGTTCGACGTAAAGGCTGCGTGTGTGAACGACTCCTTTGTTGAGATCATAGGCCCTAATTGAGCAGAGACTTCTTGCCAACTGTTGTCAATCTGCTGAAAGCGAAGTTTGAGCTCGCCATGTCTCTTCAGATATATGAAGCATGCTTTGCCTTCTACAGGATGGTGCGCATTGTTGAACATGTGCTGTTTGATATTCCACTTCCATTTGCCTTTTTCTTGCGAAGCTGACCAAGCAATGAGATTCTAGATGAACATTAGAAACAGGATTACAAACATCCGAAAGATCTTACCTTTTGCGCGTAGGGTAGGATCGCAAGCCAATGCATGCCTACCACGCCATCTACTTCGGACTCTGGATGAGCTACTTCCGCTCTGGTGAAATGCATGCGGTCCAACGCCATGGCGCATGAGAAGACCATGACCCGGCCCGCTTCGTCCATGACAGCGAGATCGTTACCTAGGTGACTCCATGAGAGATGGGTCAAACGAAAGATCTCGCGGCCCTGTGGAAATTCGAGAGGGACGTTCTTCCCGAGATCCCATTTGCCAGATTCAGGATCTCGCGAAAAGATCTTCAGGTGGACAGAGTAGCCATCTGGATTTATGTACGCAACACAGCCATTCTTGGACCATGATATCTTTCTATTACTTGTTAGTGAAGCTGGCAGATTTGCCCAAGACTCACTTACTGGCAACAGCCGCTAGACGCTAGCTCGTCGATGCGCCCGTCGAGCCCTTTCACTGGCGGTGTCGTGTTGATAGACTGTATGTTGACATGTTCTGAGTCTCCGAAGAGATCATCCACATCCATGTTATAGCTTGCGCCGTCCATTGTGGTGAGATAGCTGCGCTCGGCGGCAGGTCGGCTGAGAGGTGAGATCAGTCGAGAAAACAAGAGGTGGGAAACAACCCCGCCAAGAAAGTCGCACGAGACAAACACGAACAGATGACGAGCGAATCGTCGGGTATCACAGAGAATACAAGGAAATGAGGCACGAAATTCAAGACAGAGACGGACGTGGAGAGGGTCGAGGGTTGATGAGGCTGCGCCCCGGTTGTCTGGGATCAGTTGCGGCAGTAAGCGATGCAGCTAACGATGACTAGCGCGGTTCCATCTGGTGTGCTGTTCGTGAGAGCTTCGCGCACAATCGTCATCCCGGGCAGTCATCCTTCCCAGAATGCTGATGAAGGTTATCGCAAGCGCTCAGAATATAGTGCAATAAGCTCAGGATGCTTATGCGACTCCGGGATTCCGACGGTCAAATAAGCGCATCGCGCCGATCTCTACGAACCTGGGAGGGGTTGCATGCGCTGTGGCTGTCACGAAGAACATGGCATCGTGCCGTCCAGTTGGAAGCATGACGAGCGAAGACTTGCTTCAGAGTCCGCTGTCGAACCCTATGTACACGGCTTAACATGATTCTTCCACGTCTACTACTTTAATGATGCTGGCGTTCAGATAGTGCCATGTTCGGCCCAGCACAGACATGCCGCAAACGTAAACAGGTCGAGTGTTTAGGTTCTGTTCTTGGCAGACCTACCCGGCGCCCATGGTTGTCCAGGTCAACCAGCGCTCGCCCGTCATCGCATCCACCGCCAACCTCTGCACCCTTCCCACCCCCCTTCACCACCGCCCACAAACGCGTCTATTCCAGACGCGCGCCTGCCTGCCCTTTCTTTATCGCGCCTTCACGAAGCGTCACAATGATCTAGCGTACCTTCCCGATCTGACGGTTCTCGAAGGGGACCAAAACGGCAGCAGCGGCAGCACGGCAGCGACGACCGACAGCCCCCAACCTACGCCCTCCACACAATCACGATCTCCACACGCCCTCCGTACGCGGCATATCTCGAGCAAATACTGAGAAATTAATGCGGAATTCCACCGTCTTGTTCAAGCTACAAAGAATCTAGTGGTACTAGACGCGCCGGGTCCCTGAAAGCCGTCAGGCGCCTTGCGTTCGACATTGAACCTCCCTCGCGACACACGGCTGTCACTGCCTGTTGCTGTCCACCCCACAATCCCCACGGCGCTCCTTCACCATGGCTTACAACGCGCTAAACAACGAGCCCAGCTCGCCCTTGACCGAGATTTCGGATTCAGATCTCTCTATTCTTTCTCGGTCGCCCTCTCCACCGCCTGAGATTAACAAATCCTTCGCTCCACGTCGCGCATACATGTCCCCATCCTCCTCGCGACGCTCATCCGCCAAGACGTCACCCGCGCCCGAAGACATGCCTTCTCCGCCCTCCAGCAACGACGACAACCCGCGTCCAGTAAAGAGGAGGAAGACGGCAGAGCCCAAGGAGCGCACGGCAGAATACCTTGACCTCTCCAGGTCCGACGTCGAACAAGACGAGCTACCACAGCTGCAGCGCTTGCTGAGCGTTTTGCACAAGAAGCGCAAGATTGTGGTTATAGCGGGTGCAGGCATTTCGGTTTCGGCTGGCATTCCCGACTTCCGATCAGCTACTGGCCTCTTCAACACGCTCAAGAAGGAGCACAAACTCAAGTCCTCCGGCAAGGACCTATTCGACGCGTCTGTTTACCAGGATGACACGTCCACGTCGACGTTCCACGACATGGTGCGCACACTGTCCCAGCACACCAAATCTGCGCAGCCCACCGCCTTCCACCATCTTCTCGCGACCCTAGCCCAAGAAGGGCGCCTCATGCGGCTTTACACCCAGAACGTCGACGGCATAGACACTTCATTACCTCCTCTAAGCACAACGGTGCCTCTGCCCAAGAAAGGACCTTGGCCCAAGACTGTCCAAGTACACGGTGGTCTGGACTATATGGTGTGCTCCAAGTGTCAGAAGGTAGAGCCTTTCGACGCCGAGCAGTTCAACGGGCCTAGCCCACCACCCTGCCCAAGCTGTGTGGAGAACGACGAGATCCGCCAAGTCGCAGACAAGCGCAGCCACGGCATTGGCCGCCTGCGTCCTCGTATGGTCCTCTACAACGAACATAATCCTGATGATGAGTCGATCGGTTCTTGTGCCTCCTATGACATGCGCATGAGGCCAGACGCTGTTATCGTGGCTGGCACCACGTTGAAGGTCCCCGGTGTGCGGCGCATCGCCCGCGAGATGTGCAACATCGTTCGCGACCGAAAGGATGGAGTCACGGTCTGGCTGAACAACGACCCGGAGCCGATGGGTAAAGATCTCGAGGACAAGTGGGACCTAGTAGTCAAAGGTCCTTGCGATGAAGTTGCGCGCCATGCCAACATGCGACGATGGGACGACCCCATGGACTATAAGACAGTCACAGAAGAGGATCTCAACAAGGTCAGGGAGAAGCAAAGAGCAGAGGTCATCATCGGAACTCCTCGAAAACCTGGTGTCCTACGCAATGCGGGCCAGCTTACACCTGGACAAAGCCCTCGCATACTGCCACTATCTTTTAACAAAGCGGAACCAGACACACCGTCTAAGAAAGGCACGAAAAGGAAGGCAGACGCCAAAGCAGACGGACAGATGGATCTGTTCGGCAAGCCCGCAACCAAAGCACCCGCAAAGAAGCCGAAAGCTCAGCCAAAGAAGGCAACGGCAGCAAGCAAGAGCAAGGCGGGCAAGAAGGAGCCTAAGAAAGAGGCTCCCGCTATCAACAACGTCTTCAAGGCTACCAAGGGCGGCGCCAAACCTACAGGCAAGCCTCTGGCCAAAGCATCTGATCCGGCCCTTACCATCATCGAGTCAAAGTTCAACGAGCAGACTCGGCTTAATCCGAAGGAGAATGCCAGCGACACGATTCACATTGAGAAGCGACGGACTCCATCGACGCCCAGGAAGCCAGCAAGACTGACCAAGATAAAGTCAGACTTTGTGTTCCAGCCTGTTTCGAGTGCAGATAGCCGCAACAACCACTCACCGAAGCGACCACCAATCGAAAGCTTCACACCTACAAAGGACCGTACACCCAGTGCTCAAATTCAGGAGGAGATGGCATACGCGCATGCGACGTCGTCTACGAGCGATTCTCGTCCTTCATCCTCGGGCAGCGCACAGCGGCACATCATTGAAAGCCCAACCGGCCCGGTACCCAAAAACATGAATCACCTTCTCTGCTAGCGAACTGCATTTCTCGGCGTTGGCGGGCTTTCTTTTCCAGGCAGACGCCGTATCTATCTGCGCGGTGCATTGCATGAGAGGCGTTTGCGGTTTTACAAATGTACAGTCGAGGTGTCAGTTGTACCAGTACTTTTCTCATTGTTGGACATGCATATCTTACCTTTTGGCTGCATGATACCCAGATGAACCCCTGGTAGAGGCAGATCGGACGCCTTGGCGTTCTTTTTCGACGCAGTGTAGTGGTTCCGATGATAGTTGAAGGCTTAGGCCTCTGTTGATATTCGTGACAAATGCGAGATATTTACTATTACCTGGTGTTGAGACAATCTATTGATCTTTGTGATAACAGTAACTTGAACGAACTATCAGTGTATACCTGCACCTTCCTCCTGCAAATGAACCTCTGTGCCCTAGAATTGCGCCTCCCTTGCGCGCCTTCTTAAGACTGGCGCCTTGGCGCCTGATTCGGCCTGTGCACGTTGGCTGACGACCATTTCTCAACCTTTCATTGTTCAAGCATCTACACCCTGGCGAAACAAAGATTCATCCTTTGTTCGAGACGGCATCGTTCTGCAGTCACCAGTCCTGCAACAAACTTATTCAATTGGAATAGTCTCGGTCGGCACCTCAAGCTTGTCAACATCTCTACGCGCTGACGTGTCTTGAGAGATCTCAATCCTACCCTTGCAGCACATTGCAGTAACACAGAGTTGGAATTATCGGTCATGGCTTCACCACTAACCGTACGAAACTTGACGCCTACCACCCTCTCGATCCAGCGTGTTGAGCGATTTGAGGACCCAAATACGCTCCAATCCAAAGCAAGCGGGTACTTCCTCGGTGCTCAAAGCACCCCATCCGCGGCACCGACTTCACCTGAACTCAGCAACCATGCACAAAGCTTCAACGATCAGGATCTTGAGACCGTCCTGCGGCCGTTCGAGTCGTATACTTTAACATTTGCAAAGTCGAAGCAGTCCAACGCATTTTCACTATCAAATCCAACCCTCCGTCTCACGATTCAGACATCCAATGGTGAACGCCATCGGATTGATACGCACCCGTCATATACTCAAAAGTCAACACAGTCGTTTACCCCACTGTCCGCGGACTCTTCAACAACTTACAAAGCCCTCTTTCACCCATCGACACCTGTTCCCCATCTCTCGATCCATGTCAACCACCTTCCAAACTACTCTTCGTGGATGGGCTCATTACCAGATGATCTACCTCTATCAGCTATAAGCATCCCTGGATCGCACAACGCACATACGCACTATCGAGCCCTCCCATCTGTTCGATGTCAGGTTCACGATGTCAAGGCACAGCTCGAGAACGGGATCAGATTCCTGGACATACGGGTACAGCCAACACACGCAACGGATGCATCAAAGAAAGACCTTTACCTAGTACACGGCGCATTCCCTGTGAGTCTGACAGGACCGAAGTACCTTGAGCCTATCCTAAAGATATGCTACAACTTTCTCTTAGCAAACCCCAGCGAGACGGTAATGGTGAGTTTGAAGCGAGAAGGTGTGGGAAGCGCGACGGACGAGCATCTTGCCCGCATCCTAGAGGAGCACTACATCACCCCCAATGCGCGCCATTGGTACACGGAGAACGCGATACCGTACTTGGGAGCTGTAAGGAGTAAGCTGGTTCTGGTACGGAGGTACAATGTAGCCCGGACTGTGGCTTCATCTTCGAGTTCAGATTGCAAGAATGGCGGACTAGACGCAACAGCCTGGCCGCACAACGCAACGCACGACGTCTTCCCGTCGCACTCTTCCGCACCAACATTCTGCCTCCAAGACTTCTGCGAAGTTCTGATACCGGATATTATACCAACGAAGATACAGCATTGCAACGACCATCTCGTGCGTTCCGCTGCTGCGGTTCATCCCATCCCTGGCATAACAACCGATGTCACGAATCCAGTACCGCCAGGACCATTGTACCTAAACTTTCTTTCCGGAAGCAACTTCTGGAAGAAATCCTGCTGGCCTGGGGCTATCGCCAAAATTGTCAACAGGGGCATGGAGGAGTGGCTTTGTGAGGGGCATCACTTGGAGGCTCCAAATACGACACCTCGCCACCCGGAGGTCGCAGATGAGAGTGCTGAGGGTGCAGTGAGGAGGGCGAAAAGCGGTGATGGAAGTACGGGTGTTGTTGTGATAGATAATGTGGGAGAGAATGGGGATTGGGAGTTGGTCAAGCTGATCGTGGGTATGAACATGGGAGTGTTGGCGAAGATGAAAGCAATGGGGGAGAGTTGATGAAAGACGGATTCGATATCACGTCACAAACTTGTACACTTGATATCCAAGATCTTGTTCGTACTTATACCCCACCTGTTGGCTCGTGAGTGCCATGTGCAAGTGATGAACGGGGAGCGTCTGTGCATCTCCGAGATGCCGACGGAACATTTTGGCGATGCGCATCATGCATTTGGCATACCATAGCCCACGACGTGCGTACCATGCATTGCTCGGCCTCAGAAACTACGGCTGTCAACAAGACAATTCGACGATAGCCGCTATCCAGCGCCAATCCAGTGCGGCAATTGTGGTGGACCGGCGCATCCAACAATGTCCCTCCTCCGACCAGCATGCGCATCACTCGCGCGGCGACTCTGCACTGCACAACCGTTATCAGAGCCAACCCTGAGGTCGCCTTTATTAGCTCTCATACAGCGACATCGATCCTCGCGACCGCAATGTCGTGCCTTCGTCTCCACGCCCCGCTATCGAGCAAGAGTTATAGACACCCCGCAGAACCCGAGCATTCCCCAATCACGCAAGCGCACAGTCAGGATAGGTCCTCTACCCGAAGGGCCAGTCAGTGAACCAACGATACATCGGATATTTGGGCGAAAGCTATCGGGTCACGATGGTAATAATGTTCTGCGGATATTACACCACCGAAGGACAGCGGGTTCGCTCGCCGACTATGGCGTTGACAATCTGGGGAAACAATACACACACGTGAGCAGGGATACGGCATTGAAGGGCCTGGAGTGGTTACGAGAAAAGTACCCAATAGATGAGGCGCGTGCGGCGGAGGAATGGGCAGAGAAGGAGGCAAACCGTATAGCCTACGAGCTGTGGCTGGCCGACCCAGAGACCGAGTCCAAATACAAGGATCCCGCTCGCACTTTCCGAGAACAAATGGAGAAGGAAGAGGCAGAGAGGATACAACAGGAAGCGGACAATCGAAAGATTGGCATACTGCATGCAGGCAAGAGTCAGTTTGAGCTGAACATCGAGGAGAAGAGGAGACAACGATTAGAGGAGATTACACGAAAAGCAGAAGAGAAGGAGCAACAAGAGAGGGAAATGGAGGAGAAACTTGCGACTGGAGAGTACGTGCGTACACCAACTGGTACGCAGCTCATGAAGCCCGGTCAAACTGCCTACGTCGACGTCTTCGGCCGCGAACAAGTCAGCCGGAGGAAAGAGGAAATGGAGAAATACAGCAAGGCCGCTCAAATAACAGATGCGAAGACGGAAGAAGAGCTACTTGCACAAACCACACTTGTAAGCACTATCTCCCCTTCGCCTTCAGCTTAACACATCACTAACTCCATCACAGGCGCAACGTCTCTACCCCATGTCCGCCTTCGTCTTCCTCACAGTCCTAATCTGCTACGGTTTCGCCCACTACTACCTGCCTCCCTCACCATCCTACCGCCTCCTCCCCGACCTCAGCCCCACAACCGCCACCATCGGCGCGCTGCTGGCCATAAACGTCGGTATAGCAGTAGCATGGCGAGTGATGCCCCTCTGGCCCATCCTAACCCGCTACTTCATGCACGTCCCCGGCTACCCGCGCGCCGTCCAAAGCGTCCTCAACGTCTTCAGCCACGTCCAGTACGAGCATCTCCTCGCCAACATGATGATGCTCTGTCTCGTCGGCCCCGCATGCTGCGACCTCGTTGGCCGTGGCACCTTCATGGGTACATACATCTCCGCTGGCGCCGTGGGTACATTGTTCTCCCTCTACTGGGCTAATCTCGGCCGCGGAAATATCACTGCTCATTCCGTCGGTGCTTCCGCAGCTATCTGGGGTATCTCCGTCCTCTACTGCCTCCTCACCGACCAAGAGAAACTTAAAATCCCTTTTGTAAAAGAGCAGGAGGTGGCGTTTTGGCCTAAGATGCTGCTAGGTGCTTTTATCGTGCTTGAGGTTTTCCAGTCGTTCAAGAAGGGTACGTCGACTGCGGATCATGCTAGTCATTATGGTGGCATGTTTGTCGGGTTTGTAACCGCGGGTTATATGCATGCGAATGGGTGGAAGGATAGGCCGCGGTTTGTGGATAGAGAGGGTGGCGTTGTTGAACAAGGGGTTCAGGAGAGGGCGGGCGTGGATGGGAAGACGGTGGATGTTGGTGCGGTTGTTAAGGACGTTAAGGAGAGTTTGACGGTCGGTGGGAAGTAGGGGTTTGGAGTGTGTGGATGGAATGTGAGTGTGGTATGTATCATTATACCTGTACAAAAAGAACTTGACACGACACGACACAACCAAGGTTCAACCATCCCTTACACGCCAGGGAATATGTAAACGGGTGGGCGTAGTGGCGGAGGCCATCTCTATGCTATCTCTCAGTTCCTACGCCTTTCGTACCCCCAGTCCAATCGGTCAGTTTCCGCTCATGCTCACCTAGAATCACACAAAACAGCAGCAGCACTACTCACCTGAACAACAAAAGTTTCAAGTTGTTTTCCAACGCTGTACAAAAGATAGCAGAGACAGCCTCCTCTAACCTTCTCAAACAGCAGGGAAAATATAAACCCCCTCCTGCAACGCCACCTGCACACTCGGCACAGGCTTAACATATTTCCTCACACTCTTCACCGCATCATCCAACAACATCGCCACCAAATTCCCAAACACAACACTCCCCTCCGCATTCAAATGCGTGTTATCATCAGCCTTGAGATTATACGTATGCGCCTTCTCCGCTCCAATCGCATTCAAATACGCCGTACTCGCCACGTTCAAATCAATAATATCCGCCCCGCTCTTACTCGCCGCTTCTTTCGTCGCAGCCACCACATCCGCGAGATTTAATTTGATCTTCCCGTCGGCGTCGTAGTTGCGTCGGCTTAGCGATGTAACGAGGATGGGTGTTGCGCCCACATCCCGTGCTTCTTTCACATACGCAACTAAATTATTCGTGAGATCTGCGGCGCTGATGTTCTTATCGGGTTTCTGGTCGTTGTGTCCAAACTGAATGGTAACGTAGGGCGTGTATTTGCTTGAGACGTTTTTTGCGGAGGATAGTACGGTGGCCCAGTCGCCGCCTTGCCGGAAGGACACGGTTGTTGCGCCGTTGTGGCCGTAGTTTGTGCCTGAAGCCCCGTTTTGGAGGGTTGTGGTAAGGAAGCCGGTGCCCCAGCCGCCGCCGCCTGCGGATTGTACGGCGGTTGTTGAGTCGCCGGCGAGGAGGAAGTAGGGTGGTTTTTGGGCGCTGGGTTTGGGTTTGGGCTTGGAAGAGGGAAGGGCGGATGCGGTGGCGAGGAGGGTGAGGTAGGTGAGGGTCGTTGGGAGATGCATCTTGATGCTATTTGGCTCTGCCGCTGTGAGATAGATTGAATGGAATCGCAAATTTCGAGCTGCTGATGGTTTGCCTGCCGGTTTCGATGAAGGATGCTCATTACTTATATACCCATGAACTGATCTCCTTCATCCCTACATCGTCTACCTTCTAGATGACAATTGATCGGAATTTTACCCCATCATTTCCTTTTCGGGGCCGATGGTCGCTGGGGTAGAGTAGATGGTCTGGGGTAGCTTGTAACGTTCGTGTTGATGCATTTCCACCAATCGGGCCCGGGGAAATCAACGGGAACGTCATCGGTGTTGTTTCGCGGAGGAAATGCGATCCCGCGAAAAACGGGAGAGAAACTGGATAAACGTATGGTTCCCGTTCGCCCGGCTTTGTGGAGTTGGAATGCGCATGTTTTGCCTGTGTATGAAGAGTTGTCGATGCTGGCTGAAATCCATGAGGCTGGGTTCGCAGGCCTGGAACGTTCTTGCCCGAGGCAGTTAGACTCGGCTGGCTACACAGCCTCGTCTTACTCAAGAGTAGGCGCAGCCTTCTTGTTCACTCCCAGGCATCTCTGTAATTGTTCCAACATCTCATTGTTCATCTGCTACCTAGGCATCTCGGATTGTAGCTCTTTATCGAAGACTATTGAAGATGCGCACCATCAAGGTATGGCTGGACAAGCTTCTGCAACTAACCTCCGAGGACAAGGGCACGATATCGAAATCAGCAGACTTATGCGCAGATTGCGCACGATGGGACTTCTCAACCGTGTTTCTTGGCAAACAATATCCTGCTTACGCGTGTGGAGTCATCAGAGACCATTCAAGACGTCCGGTCTGGGATGTCCGCTCCCTGCAAACCGTCAGACTTGCGAAGACTTGCCCGATGTGTAGTTTCTTCGTGTCTCTACTCGTTATTCGAGGCCAGATAAAGGAAGACGACATATCAGCCTCAGAAAAAGATCTGGTTGTACAATTCAACAAGGTTGCATTGAGCGATAGTCACGGGGCTGTGTTTCTAAGGGTTATCGATCGACAAGCCTCCCAAGCATCATACTCCAACACATGGCCTGATTACATCGAAGCGGCTGCTGGTCGCGAATGGATCACTGTGTTGCCAGAGCGTTTGACGCCATACTGTAACATCAAAGGGTTATCATTGTGGGTGAGAAAATGTTTGGAGGACCCGCATGACTCCCATTTCGATTGCGCGAAGAGTCGCTTCACAACAAGAACTTTGGACACGCTACGACTGATCGATGTGAAAGCAATGTGCCTGAAATCAAAGCAGTTGCCAACGAAATACGCTGCCCTAAGCTATGTCTGGGGCCCATCTCACCTTACACAACTGAAGTTGCACCAAACGGAAGTGGAAGCCATGTCAAAGCGCAATGCATTGAGGCGACGGTGGGATGAGGTACCAGCAACGATCAGAGACGCCATGGAAGTTTGTATCGGATGCGGCATTCGATATCTCTGGGTCGACGCTCTTTGTCTGATTCAGGACGCGCCAGATCTTCCACGACATCTGGACAAGATGACGGAGATTTATGATACAGCTGTCATGACAATTGTAGCAGCTTGTGCCGATTCATCGTGGACAGGCCTTAGCGGGGTGTCGATAGCACGCCCTATGTCGCAACACCGCGTGTCCATCGGAAACATAGCTCTCATGGAAGCTTTGCCACCACTGGGAGCTGAGCTGAAGAACGCACGCTGGACTCAG